AAGCAGAAGTAGATGTTTTTCTGGAACTCTCTGGCTTTCTCCATAATCCAGTGCATGTTAGTAATTTGGTCTCTAGTTCCTCTGCCCCTTCAAAATCCAGTTTGTATTTCTGGGAGGTCTTGGTCCACGTACTGCTGAAGCCTGCCTTGTAGGATTTTGAGCATAACCTTGCTAGCATGTGAAATGAGTGCAATTGTATGGTAGTTGGAACATTCTTTGGCACTTCCCTTCTTTGGGATTGGTATGTAGACTGATCTTTTCCAATCCTCTGGCCACTGCTGAGTTTTCCATTGAAGATGATAAAAAAAGCACACTGGTCCTTTGATATTGGGCTGTGGCACCAGGGTGGGTGACATGACCTTTAGCCTGTTTGTTCCTTTTTGCACACCACACATAGAATGATTAAAGTGGTAAGGAACCCCCCCAATTCTGCGTTGCCTGTCTCTAGCAAGCATGTCATTGCTAGAAACACTCTGGCAGCCACCTCTGCGAGCTAGCAAAAATTTAATGCAAATTGCTAAGCATGTTGGACGTATACCACCTCATGGCTGGAGTGCAATGTGTTCCAGCAAAAATAGTGCACATCTTTATCAAATTTCATGCATCCTGCTAGTTTGGTACACAGCCTCTGTAGATTCAATAATATTTTTAATTCAAATAATTAAATTTGATATTTTTAATTCAAATAATTAATTCCTTCCTTTCGAATCAAGGGGGTAATGTCGGCGTATATAATTTTTTGCGGGGTAAAAGGTAAAAAAGTTCCCTGACCCCTGATTTTAGAAATTACCAGTACATGAACCAGTGTTATTAGAGACTTTCTTTCAAGATAGGGGCAAAAGTATACAATCTGCCTGAGCTGGAGAAAGGCAGACCTGGCCATGGCTGAGATCTGATTCTCAATGGAGAGGGCTGGGTCCATAGGTTCAGGGTCCAAATTATAACCCTGAACCTATGAGGAGAATGTGAACCCATCTAGACCAGCAAGAAACCTCCTAACTGATCAAGGTACCCCCCCTAACAACAGGGAATCCATCTACCTTGTCAGAATTTCAGCATATTAGTCCTTGTGCAGTCCATAACCATGGCCAGGCAGTGCTCCAGGGCCTGAACAGCTTCCTCTGTCAAAGACCAAAAGGAGTGATAGAGTTGTGTATCATCAGTGTACTGATAACAGCATACTCCAAATCTCTGTATGACTTCCCCCAACATTGTATAGATGTTGAACAGCAGTGGGAAGATGATCAGCCCCTGTAGTCTATATTCGTTAACCACTTTGGGGCCTCTCTGAGCTTGCTGGTGCCAATTCGAAGCTCTGGCCATAGTGCTGCTGAAAGATGTATCTACTTTTACAGAGGCTTCATATAAGCTTTTCCCATCCAGCCTTTCCCCACTTCTGTTCATGATCTCTGGAGTGAGAACAGTTGC